TTGGCAGAAGGTTCACCCAGTGTGCTCTAAAGCAGCGGTTCTCAACCTGTGTAACCTCAGGACCCACATTTGTCCTCGGTCATTACGTCGTAGTGCAATGGAACGCACGGCAGTGTGGGCTGCTGTGCTGGAGCTCCATTCATATGTGCTTTGCTTGCACAGCTCCCATGTGTGCCTGTAGAGTGGCTCGGAAGCAGAATGTGATGTCACTCCAGTCCCGGCACCTCTACAGGACATGCAAGGGAGCTACAGTATAAGCAATCTACATATGGATGGAGCTCCCTCGTGGCCATACCCCTAGCCCACCCCTCCTCAAGTCGACACTTGGCGCCGGGCAGCATATTTTGAATTGCTGCTCGTTGTAAGAATGGACAGTGCTGTGCTAGGGGGGAGGCTGAGTAGCCTCTCACCTAGAAAAGTGGAAGGCATATGGCGACCCACTGAGCAAGGGGTCGCGACCCACTTTTGGGTCACGACCCACCAGTTGAGAACTGAGGCTCTAAAGTATATGTAGCATTCCTGCCCATGCTTGCTGGACTTTGTGTCCTTGGTCATGTGGACCTTGCCGCTGATAGCATGGCCTATGACATGGACGCATTACATTTCACATGCTGTTGTAAGGCCACTACCAAACTCGCAGAAGGAGGCTGCTAAGCCGACAGCTGGCATTGGGGTAATTTGGGGACATTTAATTCTGCCTTGGGAAGAATGCTGCTGCAGACAACCTTTTCTTTGGCCCAGAGATACCCTTTAGGGCACTGGCTGGAGTTCCCTTTTGATAAACAGCCTCTGCGGCTGAGCCTCCTATGATGTTAACTCCCAGCATGCACCAGCACCGCGTGACCGGACCAGAAGTTGCTTGGGAAAGTTGAAAGAAACATAAACTTAAAAACAAACAAAAACGAATAACATGACGTGAGAACAGCTGTGAGCTCAGCGCGTGCCGGGCGGACAAAAGGAAAATAATTTGAGGGCCGAGGCGAGGACAGAAATAGAAGAAGAGCCGAATAACTGGAGGGCGCGAAAATGATTTTCTAGCACAGACAGGCGACCCGCCGAGTCCACCGCAAGTTTGTCTACAGACATATCGACCCGCTGAGAAGTGTGACATCAAACGTTAGCCTCCTTCTCCTGCCTGTGCGTCAAATGTTTTATTTGTGCCCAAAAGCCGTGAAGGAAACACAAAGACCAGACAGAGAAATGAGAACCGGAGGGGAAAGCAGAGAATAAAATCCAGCAAACTGGAGAGAGAAGATCTGAAAGAAGAAACGCCGCTCCAAAGTCTGCGGACGCGGGTGCCGGCCGAATGGAGGTCGCCAAAAGGCAGAGACCCAAAAAATTATGAGCTCAGCATGAGTGAAACTTTATTGTTCCAGACAAAGAATATAGAAGGTCCATCCAAATATAAATGTATAATAATAGTGTGTGACTGTGGGGGAGGGGACATTGGAGTGTAAGCTCCTCAGTACAGAGACTGGTGTGACGGGCTCAGTGTTCTCTGTACAGCACTGCGGTATATGTCAGAGCCATATACATGTATAATAATAGTGTGTGACTGTGGGGGAGGGGACATTGGAGTGTAAGCTCCTCAGTACAGAGACTGGTGTGACGGGCTCAGTGTTCTCTGTACAGCACTGCGGTATATGTCAGAGCCATATACATGTATAATAATAGTGTGTGACTGTGGGGGAGGGGACATTGGAGTGTAAGCTCCTCAGTACAGAGACTGGTGTGACGGGCTCAGTGTTCTCTGTACAGCACTGCGGTATATGTCAGAGCCATATACATGTATAATAATAGTGTGTGACTGTGGGGGAGGGGACATTGGAGTGTAAGCTCCTCAGTACAGAGACTGGTGTGACGGGCTCAGTGTTCTCTGTACAGCACTGCGGTATATGTCAGAGCCATATACATGTATAATAATAGTGTGTGACTGTGGGGGAGGGGACATTGGAGTGTAAGCTCCTCAGTACAGAGACTGGTGTGACGGGCTCAGTGTTCTCTGTACAGCACTGCGGTATATGTCAGAGCCATATACATGTATAATAATAGTGTGTGACTGTGGGGGAGGGGACATTGGAGTGTAAGCTCCTCAGTACAGAGACTGGTGTGACGGGCTCAGTGTTCTCTGTACAGCACTGCGGTATATGTCAGAGCCATATACATGTATAATAATAGTGTGTGACTGTGGGGGAGGGGACATTGGAGTGTAAGCTCCTCAGTACAGAGACTGGTGTGACGGGCTCAGTGTTCTCTGTACAGCACTGCGGTATATGTCAGAGCCATATACATGTATAATAATAGTGTGTGACTGTGGGGGAGGGGACATTGGAGTGTAAGCTCCTCAGTACAGAGACTGGTGTGACGGGCTCAGTGTTCTCTGTACAGCACTGCGGTATATGTCAGAGCCATATACATGTATAATAATAGTGTGTGACTGTGGGGGAGGGGACATTGGAGTGTAAGCTCCTCAGTACAGAGACTGGTGTGACGGGCTCAGTGTTCTCTGTACAGCACTGCGGTATATGTCAGAGCCATATACATGTATAATAATAGTGTGTGACTGTGGGGGAGGGGACATTGGAGTGTAAGCTCCTCAGTACAGAGACTGGTGTGACGGGCTCAGTGTTCTCTGTACAGCACTGCGGTATATGTCAGAGCCATATACATGTATAATAATAGTGTGTGACTGTGGGGGAGGGGACATTGGAGTGTAAGCTCCTCAGTACAGAGACTGGTGTGACGGGCTCAGTGTTCTCTGTACAGCACTGCGGTATATGTCAGAGCTATTCTACCATTTCCGGAGCAGCGGTGGCTCTACATGATTGGAACATCTCCAACACATTTGAGCTGCGGTACTTCATGTGACAAGAAGTGACATTAGTATGATCAGGTGAAAATAAGATTTCGGAGCACCTCGGGATAAGCTCGGCAGACGGGAGACGTGTCTCCTCAGGATGCCGGCGCTTGGAACGCTCATCTTGTCATGAAGGGTGACACGGCTCAGACAGACCTCATTATAGGGACTAATGTGAAGCGTGCTCCGCGGCCTCATTACGATGGATATGGAGGGAATTATATTGTTTCCTGTCACCTTCTCAGAATCTTTGTATATAAAGATCATCTTATTAACACTCAACTAAGGTGGAGAAAAGTTAGAAGAAGATACAAAGTCATCCCAGGGGCTCCTATCCCCCCCACACACACACTTCCTGAGATGGAAGAGAGGGACGCCTTCCTGCGCCAAGGATATACGCCAAACGCTCGTGCTTTCCACCCCATTATCACACCGCTATCATTCCACCGATATAACCACTCATACCAAACGTTCTCATCTTCATGTATCTTCTCACCTTCAACAGAAAACTAAACTACAAAACTGCAAACTACTCAAAATAAACCTTTTCTAGAGACACATGGAGGCTAAAATTGCTGACATCCTGTATAGAAATGCTAGTTTCCCGATTGTCCTATCGATCCTCTGGCTTCAGTACTTCGAGTCACTGCCCCAGAACACACTGCAGATAAGGAAGTCTGTTTTCAATGATGTCCCCAATCTTTAATATCTCTGAGTCATGGAGTGAAAGAGAAGTGAAGCTCATCGGCATGACAACCAGCAAAATAGCTAGCACCAAAGGAGGTCAGAGATGGCAGCACTCCTTTTCTTTTATGACAGGGTTACTTTATATTATACATATTCATATAGGGGACCTAAAGATGGACAGAGGGATCTGGGTGCAGAGGAAGGACAATGGTGGGTGATAGAGAGGCAGAGGAGGAACCATGGGGACAATAGAGGGACAAAGGGATCTGGGTACAGAGGAGGGACAATGATGGGTGATGGAGGGAGAGAGGGATCTGGGTACACAGGAGGGACAATGATGGGTGATGGAGGGAGAGAGGGATCTGGGTGCAGAGGAGGGGCAATGGTGGGTGATGGAGGGAGAGAGGGATCTGGGTACAGAGGAGGGGCAATGGTGGGTGATGGAGGGAGAGAGGGATCTGGGTGCAGAGGAGGGACAATGGTGGGTGATGGAGGGAGAGAGGGATCTGGGTGCAGAGGGGGGACAATGATGGGTGATGTAGGGAGAGAGGGATCTGGGTACAGAGGAGGGGCAATGGTGGGTGATGGAGGGAAGGGAGGGATCTGGGTGCAGAGGGGGGACAATGATGGGTGATGGAGGGAAGGGAGGGATCTGGGTGCAGAGGGGGGACAATGATGGGTGATGGAGGGAAGGGAGGGATCTGGGTGCAGAGGGGGGACAATGATGGGTGATGGAGGGAAGGGAGGGATCTGGGTGCAGAGGGGGGACAATGATGGGTGATGGAGGGAAGGGAGGGATCTGGGTGCAGAGGGGGGACAATGATGGGTGATGGAGGGAAGGGAGGGATCTGGGTGCAGAGGGGGGACAATGATGGGTGATGGAGGGAAGGGAGGGATCTGGGTGCAGAGGGGGGACAATGATGGGTGATGGAGGGAAGGGAGGGATCTGGGTGCAGAGGGGGGACAATGATGGGTGATGGAGGGAAGGGAGGGATCTGGGTGCAGAGGGGGGACAATGATGGGTGATGGAGGGAAGGGAGGGATCTGGGTGCAGAGGGGGGACAATGATGGGTGATGGAGGGAAGGGAGGGATCTGGGTGCAGAGGGGGGACAATGATGGGTGATGGAGGGAAGGGAGGGATCTGGGTGCAGAGGGGGGACAATGATGGGTGATGGAGGGAAGGGAGGGATCTGGGTGCAGAGGGGGGACAATGATGGGTGATGGAGGGAAGGGAGGGATCTGGGTGCAGAGGGGGGACAATGATGGGTGATGGAGGGAAGGGAGGGATCTGGGTGCAGAGGGGGGACAATGATGGGTGATGGAGGGAAGGGAGGGATCTGGGTGCAGAGGAGGGACAATGGTGGGTGATGGAGGGAGAGAGGGAGTTGGGGTGAGAGCAGAATGAGGTAACAGCTGTTCATTTGTAAAATAAAGGAAAGTGAGATATTACTGTACCTGAGTTTTCCTTCTTGAGGCAGCTCATGGTAGGGATCATCGCACACCAACCGACCCTCCGAGTCCAGCAGGTAAATGAAGGCATTGTCCTGAAACCAGAACAGAGCAGACGCTGAGCATCTTTACACCTGAGTATATACCACAGGGACAACGTCTCATGGTCACATGGTATTATAACACAAGTTAGGTAGGGAAGCTCTTTCAGCTAATCCTAATGCTGCTCATACCCCTTACCCTGAACCTAACACCAGACCTAGCCCCTTGTTTATAAATAAAGCCATGGAGTCACCCTATCACAACTGCCGTAGTGATCACATGACTTTGTTTATAAACAAAGGATTAGGCTTAGAGTTAACATTCCCATTAGGGTTGGGGTTAGTTTTAAGGTCGGTTATGTTTATGAATGAAGTCACAGATCACCGTGACGAGGCTTCATCAGATAACGAATCCCTGAGATTTTTTTCAAGCCAAGTTCTCCTCTGTGGTCTGTATGGAGAATTTTTAGGCTGCTTTGGACAAAATTTAGATTTCGCTACGCTCATCAGGGCAGCCATCAGTTGGGGTACGGCCGATACTCATGTAAGGGGCCCGGGCAGCCTGGGGGGATCCGCCTGGGTCCCTTACTTGACTATCAGCCGACGGTGAAGGGCGAGGAGGCGGAGACCTGGCCCTAGCAGCACAGGGCACCAGCATTGCCGCTCCAGCGGCTTTGAGACAAGCTAGGACCCCATCAGCGACGCTGCTCGTCTGATTTTCAGACTGGCCGGCCTAAAGCCGTGTAAGGGGCCCCAAAATTTCTGATGGCTGCCCTGACGCTCATCCTGATTCATGGTAAATGGGTAAATATGGTCAATAAAATAAAGCTCTGCTGTGTCATAGGGGACAATCTCTCCCTCCTGTACCCGGGTCCTGACCCTTCACAGGATCTGTGCCCCCCTGATCTGGACGAGGTCGCTCGGGTCACCTCGCTCTCCTCTAATTAATACTCGAGTTGTATATTGGCAGCATTGATCTGTTACAATGTTACCGACCAATGTTTCTTCTATAATCCTCACTGCGCTCCACGCTCCTGAAATATCCTTTCCCGTTTTAGAAACAGTCGCCATGGTAACATGACAATTCCCCCGTACCTCCAACACCCCAATTATGAGTAAAGCGTCTGCGTTTTCCCCACCTCTCGGGACCCTTCCTCCTCCCTCCGCGTCACTCCGGCCCGATGGGTGACGTACACGCGGATCTATAGGGTGAGGGCCGAGTCAGAGGGGGATTCAAGAAAATGCAATTTATCTACAACCTCCGACCAACAGGATGGAGGAGACATTTATAAAAAAAAAACGTCTTCTTGTTCGCAGTGGTTAATCAGTCGTTTTTTTATCGTAAACACAATTTAGGGACAGATTTATTTTTTGAGCGCATTTTGCGTTATAACGTGGCGCCTATGACAATATCTGTGTTTGAAAAGTGTTCCTCGCCGCTTCTGAGAAAGTTCTGAAGTTGCAATTAGTACTCAGGGCTCGCGGCTGCAGCGCAATGAGGCTGGGTTCACACCTAGGCGGATTGAATATGCACGTTTTTCGCGCGTTTTTTTAACCGCGATTCGCGGTTAAAAAAAAACGCGCGAAAAACGCGTGTTTCCGAGGGATAGTTGGCTGTATCCCAATGGAACCGCCCGACCAAAACGCCCCAAAGAAGTACATGTACTTCTTTGGGCGTAGGGCGGTTTCCCGCACGTTCGTAATCGCGGAAAACCGCCCAGATGGGAACCATGCACATTGAAAATAATGGCATTTCCCTGTTTGAGCGTTTTTCCGCGAGTAGGAAAGCGCGGAAAAACGCCTAGGTGTGAACCCAGCTTAAGGAAAAGAGGTGGGCAGGTGCCATTTGGCCGCACGACCACGTGAAAGTACAACTGTCCCCTAGGTTGCAAAACAGACCCTAAGCTAACATATTGACACATAAAACACACATGAAAACTGCTGACCTGCGATACAATTGCGTTAATAAAAGTATCTTAATGTATCAATCTTTCACAAGCTCCATCATTGAAAACATATACTCTATGGCAGGGGTAGGAAAATTCTGGCCCCACAAATCCCATTCTGTATCTGCCTATGCAATGAGTCTTGCAATGCCTTATGGGATCTGTAGTTGCACCTCACCTGGAGGGGCCGGAGTTAGCCTACCCCTGCTCTATGGGGTCTATTAACAAACAATTCACCCTGCGAATCTCAATGAACGTTCCTTCTGTGCGAATAGAGGCAAAACAACAAACAAACATTCTTGGTATCTTATCTTTTCAGGTTGAATGTAATATCAGAAAATTACCACATTATGACCACTAGATGGAGCTGAGGAGCATAGGTAATAAGTACATACACTATATTGCCTAAAGTATTGGGACGCCTTTACATGCACATAATGGCATCCCAGTCTTAGTCCGTAGGGTTCAGTATTGGGTTGGCTCTGCCCTTTGCCGCTATGACAGCTCCGCCTCTTCTGGTAAGGCGTCCAGAAGGTTTAGGAGGGTGTCTATGGGAATGTTGGACCATTTGTGAGGTCAGGTACTGATGTTGGGGGAGGGGCTCGCAGTCTCCGCTCTAATTCATCCCAAAGGTGTTCTATGGGGTTGAGGTCAGGACTCTGTGCGGCCAGTCACGTTCCTCCCCCCCAAACTCCTCCATCCGTGTCTTTATGGACCTTGCTTTGTGCACTGGTGCGCAGTCATGTTGGAACAGGAAGGGGCCGTCCCCAAACTCCTCCCACAAAGTTGGGGGCATGAAATTGTCCAAAATGTCTTGGTGTGCTGATGCCTTAAGGTCTCTTTCACACCTAGGCGTATTGCATATGCGCGTCTGTCGCGCTACCGTGATTCGCGGTAAAAAAATTGCGCAACCGTCGCGCGTTTCCGAAGGCTACTTGGCTGTATCCCAATGGAAACGCGCAACAAAACGGCCCAAAGTAGTACCTGTACCTTTTCAGGCATGGGCCGTTTTGTAGCGGGTTAGGAACGGGCGGAAGTACGCCAAGGTGGGAACGAGACCATTGAATACTATGGGATTTATATTTTTGAGCGTTTTGTAGAGCGTTCGTCGAGCGTAGAACGCGCTACAAAACGTTCAGGTGTGAACGAGGGCTAAGAGTTCCCTCACTGGAACTAAGGGGCGGAGCCCAACCCCTGAAAAACAACCCCTCCCTCCATAATCCCCCCTCCCCCAAACTGTACACTTGGCACAATGCAGTCAGGCAAGTACCGTTCCCCCGGCAACCGCCAAACCCAGACACGCCCATCGGATTGCCAGACAGAGAAGCGTGATTGGTCCCTCCAGAGACCACGCCTCCACTTCTCTAGAGTCCAGTGACGGCGCGCTTTACACCGCGGCATCCCACGCTTTGCATTGCACTTGGTTATGTGCGGCTTGGATGCAGCTACTCGGCCATGGAAACCCATTCCATGAAGCTCTCTACGCACTGTTGTTGTGCCAATCTGAAGGCCACACGGAGTTTGGAGGTCTGTAGCTATTGACTCTGCAGACAGCTGGCGACTTCTGCGCACTGTGCGCTTCAGCATGCGCTGACCCCGCTCTGTCATGTGACGTCGCCAACCACTTCCTGGCTGAGTTGCTGTTGTTCCCAGTTGCTTCCACTTTGTTATAATCCCAGTAACAGGTGACCGCGGAAAATTTAGTAGCCGGGAAATGTCACAGAACACCTGAATTCAATGATTTGGAGGGGGAGGGGCCCAATACTTTTGGCAATATAGTGTATTTCCTGTGCTCCTCAGCTCCCCCCCGTGGCCATAATGCAGTATTACATTACATTCAACCTGAAAAAGAACATTGTTTTTTTTTGGCTTCTACTCACACAGAAAGAGCGTTTGCAAAGATCTGCAGGATGCATGGCTCTGTGAATTGTCTATAGGCAGAACCCTGCCGGTCTTTATACACAGATGGGGGAGTTTTGTCAGGTAAACTGGTGACTAAATCAGGCTGACGTTCACTTTGCGAAGTCTGTGTACAGTTTTGCAACCGCCGGCGCCTGCAATAACAGCCAACGCAGAGCCTTGCACAGGACAGAAATACCGCTGAAGACGAGACAGATTTTTATTCCAAAAGATGAAGCTGCACTGCTGACAGTACTCGACCTTTCAGTTACTAGAGAGCGCTCAAAGTAACTGCGACGGATGGTGCCGTGCCAGGGCCAGGAGAGGATGCGAAGTCACCGGCACTACTGAGCAATGCGTGTCACATATTATAAAAGAATAACAATGTCTCCGGTTCCCTTCCAGAGAGACAATAAGCCAATACACCTAGGATACATATATACCCAAATGTGACCCATACCAACCCAAATGAGGACAGATGCCGTGGGCAAGGGGGGATTGGACACCCCCCCCCTCCCCCGCCTTACCTATGGGCCTTAATAATGGTCAGAGCAGATTTTATTCTGTTGCAGTACAAAATTAGAGCAGCAGACGGCGTTAATGTGTTATGTTAATAACAGTTTTAATTAGGGATGCGCCGATACCGTTTTTTCGGTATCAGGTACGAGTACTGATATTTATATTTCGGTACTCACCGATACCGAGTACCGATACTTCTGGTAGCATAGAGCCGGCTTCCCAAGAAGCCGGGCGGTGGGTAATGACAGACATGCCACCTGGCTCCCTGGGAAGCCGACTCCATTCTGTTTGGCCGGCTCCTTGCTGATTGGCCGGGAAGCCAGCTTCCCAGCCAATCGGCATCGAACAGATCTGATAATATGGTGACACAACCTCCACCCTGCAGACACCTCATTCCCCTCGCATAGATCCTCAGCAGCATCCATTACCGTACCACAGATGTCCCTCGGGCAGCTGGGCAGACGCCGCTCTCCAAGCTCTCCCGGATCTGCCCGCGTCTCCTGTGTGTACAGCGCCTGCGTGATCGGCCCTCAGCCTGCTACTGCACATGCGCAGACTGCCCGGTGCTCTCATTCAGACATCAAGCAGGCGGTGCTGGCGCTGTGCACACAGGAGACGTGGGCAGATCCAGGAGAGCTTGGAGAGCGGTGTCTGCCCAGCTGGCCCGAGGGACTGGTATGGTAATGACTG